CTCGTGATTATGATAGCAATGTGTAAGTTGATGCAATCGTATAATAGATGTGTATGTTATATCACGAAGTTTTCATTTACAATTCGATCGAAGTATAAATCACGAACTGTACGATCAAACTCATAGATTCTTTGGTGAAATTACGAAGAATTTAATCAAATATTATTAAACATCTAAATTATATCGAGAGTACAGTGGATCTTTGTTGCCAGATTTTTAATCAGATCTAATTTTAATTGTGTGTGTGTTTTAATGTTCCATTTAAGGTCTTAGATGTTTCATCTCTAATCTCACAACTGTAAAAGTTACGTGAGATAAAACGGTATAAAAATATGTCATCAGTAAGACAACAGATAAAGTTAAGGGTATTCACCTCTCTTTTTCATCTCATTGAGAAATGTGGAGTAAATGTCCGGTCGCGTTCGAAATTTTACCACAGATACCTGGAATGACATCTCAAAATACAAATTTTAATTTTTGACTGATTGTTTTCTTCTTTTCGGATTGTAGAATTTTCAAATGTTTTTACCATTTTTTATATCTCAAAAAGAAAAAATCGACAGTCAAAACAAAAACTTGCATTTTGACATGTCGTTCCAGATGTCTGTGATGAAATTTTGAACATTATCGGACACTTACTCTACATTTCCTAATGAGATGAAAAAAAAACGGGAGTACCTTTTCATCATCTCAATTTCATTCGGTAAACTGCAGTAATTTGCTCTAAACACGCTTGGTTTAATATTCTCACTCGATTAAATGTCCTGACTGGTAGTCGACTGGTAGACTTGATATAAATGAGTTTTGTTGATAGAATAATATATTTTCATTGGTTTATGCTGAATATACGATTTGAACGCTTCTGGAGCTTTTTTAAGAGGTTTTTTTTAAAAACCGGAAACTAATGTTACATGTATTTGCTCGTTTGTGAATTGATTCTAATTTAACTCACAACTCTATTTCGTCATTAGAACCATCGGGTCACAGGTTGATCAACCTAAAAAAACTACAGTTTTCACTTCCACATTCTTCTTAGATGTATCAAAACGCATTAGCCATAATAAATACGTTTGGTGAATAAACTCTCTTGAATAAAGAGTGATCAATAGATGTTCAAAATTGTGAGTCTAATCAGATATTGTTCGCGAGTACGATGTATATTTAAGTAACAATGAATTCTGTTTCAGTTTTACTAACTATGTTTCTATGGATTTAGAAGGATTGCGTCTTTCATCGGTTGTAACCGAATTCCAATTTATATATAAATGGTCAAAATATATCTGGTAAAACGTATGCAACCGAGACCTAAACGATGAAACTTTTTCTATATCGGAAGATTGAATCGACTGGAAATTTAAAAACTGCACTTGATTTGATAAAAAATTTATCCTCATGTATCTGATTTACAGCAAAATACTTTGTCAATTTTCTTTGACTCTCATTTAAATGCTAAGTAAAAAGTTTTTCTTTTCTAAGTAATTTATTAAAAATAATTATATTTTTTGACAAACAAGCAGAAATGTGGTTTAGTGGCTCACTCTCATGCTCTCCACGCACTTCCTCCCCTCACCGCCTTCAGTCACACAAAAATATAGCTTACTAAAGCAGGAATTAAGTTAGCTAATTAACAAAAATCACCTTAGCATTTAGGTAGTTTTACTTAGCAAAAAAAAGTAGTCATTTTCTTTTCTAATTTTGTAATTTTCTTTTCATTAATTAGTAGCTTTGCAATTGTTCCGGGTGTATGAATTGAACGAAAGAAAGCAAACGTAAAAGGAGAGAATGAATGAGAAAGAGACGACTCGCTATGTGATGTTATGGATAGAAGTCAACTAAAATCCGACAGATCTTAACTAGAGAGAAACGTTAGTTGAACAAACAAACAAGTATTCATTTAACGCAAAAAAATAAATTCACTGTTGAAAATTGCTTTGATTTTCAATCAACCCATTCAGAAATGTTTTAATACTTTTATGATTCTTATCCTGGTGAGAAAATTACACTAATCTTGCTAAGATTTCACTTACATTTGTCTTGGATCGTAGACAAATCTTACCAAGATCTTAACTCGAAATCTTACTAAGATAAGACCCGAAAATTCTAAGATTTTATTAAGAATAGGTTATACTTTGTCTAAGATTCTTTCAAGAGTGGGTGAGAGTCGGTTAGTATCTTAACAGTGACAACTATTACGTTTTTTTAACAACACAAATTCACCATTAACTAACAATTTGAGTATCTAGTCTACAGTAGTGGTGGATCTAGAAAAATTTTTCGATGCTGGCGAATTTGTACAAAAGAGCAAGTTTAGCAACTTTACTTAGGAGTGTCTAGACAACACAATTTCTACTTTTCGCGCTCGGAGCGTTGCACAAGAAGGAGAGTGTAATAGTATGGAATCCAAAATTCTGGTGCTTGCGGCCACCAGTACTCTAAATCCGCCACTGATCTACAGTGTAGTGATAGACGTTGAACAGATTTGAAGCATGCAGCCAAATTTTATATTTTTGGGTGCCCGATTCTGGATCTTGACTTGCACTGTACATTCTCTAAAAAGTTGTTGGAAACTTTTGAGAGTGTAAAAATACGAGCAAAAATCTGAAATAAAAATAATTCAATTATGTTTATGTTGTTGCTTATATAGATGTATGAGAGCAAAACAAAAGGGTGAATGAAAATAGAGTCATCAAATCTTATTCAGATCTTAATTAACACCATAGATTATCTTATCAGTACAATATACAAGTTCATCATTGTACTTCTACACAAATTTTGAATCTTTCAATTACTTTGTAAATTTTGGGCTACTTCGTTAAATACAGACTCTCGTGAACAAACCGAATAAAAAGCTTTTGTTTATCGAGGTTTCAATTAAAAAACACAACACAATCAGTAATTAGTCTAATTACCAAACACAAAGTCTAAAAACATTTATTTAGTATAAAAAATAATTTTTTCATATTTCTTTTGATAATTTCGATTTCAGTTTTAACATATTTGTTACAGAATATTGACAGATCTTTTTCCACTCTCGTCAGATATTAGACGTTAGCCTCTTAGATGAACAGAAATACTTTTTAATATACATTTTTTTATAGTAAAAAGACATATAATTGATGGGCATGTCTTAAATGTTTGACTTGAAAAGACATTCTGCGATTGTCTCTTATTTTCTAGTTGACAGAGCCGTAGGTACGATATGGAGAGGGCATAAAAGACGACGCTCATATCCGTCACACGCTCTGTCATGATTTGATAATTACTTCTTTTATGTACATAACAATTATACAACTGAAAATGATTGACAGCCGAAAAAGGGAGAGAGAGAGAGAGAAAAAGAACGAACAAACATAATCCACGCGAGTTGATAAGTGCCGATCGTTCTTAAACATTATCAACCTTCTCTTTTTCTGTCCTTTATAGTCAGTCAAATTTTATTTTTATCAAATTGATCAACTGAGCGTATTTTTTCTCTTTGATTGCCTAAAGCTATCTATCAGTGAGTAAGAGAGATATGTCGTTTATTTTGAAGTATTGAATAAAGGCGTGTGTGCTTCTAATAACAAAAACTGTGGGTGGGTAAAACGATTTTTATTTATTATCGACCACCTGATAGAGTCAATGTGTATATGGACAGCTTTCAATTAAAATTTTGATCATTTATTGAGACAAACAATATGAATTGATATATGTGGAGTCCATTAATTATAAAATCCACTCAAACACAGCATTACAAGAATATTTCTATATGTGAGAACACATTTGTCACTTGTTTTTACAATTTTATTCAAATTTTTTATACAATTTTTTTGAAAATAAAAAATAGCATTATTGATTTCACATTTTCAAATGACATTCTTTTTAGAAGAAAAAAAAGATCAACTTATCGCTTTTTACACAGATCTACAAGATAAATATCATTTCAACGTATATCTCACCCTATAAAAATGATGATAACACATTCCAATTCAACTAGGGTTAAAAAATGGCACAAAATATTTTTAGATGATGGATGTGATTGCAGTACACAATTATCTACAGATAAAGTTTATATTTCCATTTATTAACTCGAAAAGACGAAATTGAATCGTTTATTTAATAGATGATTATTCGATTTTATTAACAAAAAACAAAGGAACATCTTGATTTTACCATTAACTTTTCGTAGGATAGTCTCTAAATATCGGCAAGTCTTTCGAACTATACTTAGTTTGACTATTGAAAATTGACTATTCTTCTCTTTTCAACGTGCATCTCACACGTATCTCTGAGAAAATATCGTTTTTTATTTTTAAATTTCTTTTGAACATGTATATGTGTAAATAAGTTAGTAAAATAATCGAGTTGTTTTAACGCCTATTGTTGTCTACTCAATTACATTATTAGTGGAAGAAAAAGGTGAATAAATTTAATAGCAAAGATCATGATCTTGCTGTGTTTTTTTTTTCTCTTAATAATTATTAATTATATAGACGATGATCGTGTGACATAGAAGAGGTATCCCGCTGATCAAATAAACTATTGGTGTCTTGTTTTTGTCCAATCATAGTTTTTTCCGAGACAAAAAAAGATAAAAAGAAAAGAACAGAAAAAAAAGAAATAAATGATCATATAAATGGAATTTATATGTGCCATACTTGAACATATTAACAAATTATTTTATCGACAATTCTGACGGTATGTACTTGATCAGTAATTCTATGAAGTTTGTTTAGATAACTTTTAATTATATTAGATACTAATATAGATGTTCATATAGTTCTAGTGTGGTATCACTGTAACGTTTTCAAAATTCTTTAGTGTTTTTTTTGAGATATGACATGTTATAACGCTCACATGGTTGTTTTATGATAAAAAACGAGGGATCAACTATTCTATCGAAATTTAACTATCATGTTCAAGACAAGTCGTTACTAAAGTACACTATTTAGTTTCAATTGCTGTAGATTCGCTTGTAAGAGAGATATTTATTTGAAACTTTTTTGTTATAGAACCGAAAAATGTCTACTATTAATATGGAATCTGAAGCACAATATGAACAACAGTCTGTTTCACATAAAAAATCGCGTCGTGGTCGTAAACGTATCCAAGATCCGTCGCTTGTTATACAAATGAAACGAAATCGTCGATGTCGTGCAAATGATCGTGAACGTATTCGTATGAGAAGTTTAAATGGAGCACTTGAACATTTAAGAGAAATATTACCCATAGATGATACAGATGATAAATTAACAAAAATAGAAACATTAAAGATGGTAAGTAAATCTCAAAATAATTTCAAATTATAAATATAAAAAATATGATTTAACAAAAATTTGTAGTCTATTTCCGGCTTCGTATTTGTCCTGTATTTCCTGTGTTTGTATGAGAACATCCTGTTTTATCCTGTTTTTTGAAATTTTCCTGTTTTTCCTGTATTTTGACGTTTTTCTGCAGGCTTACTGTTTACTGGGGTGAAATCTGTTAGAAAGTCTCTGCCTCTTACGTGAATCCAATCAATCAGCTAGACAAATATTCTAACTTCAGTTTCTTTCAGTCACCAAGAGAAGAGAAGACTAACATAGATGACGTTTACACTCAGGATCAGAATGTTCCCATAAAGGCTGACCGTATAAATTCTATACACTCATGTCGAAACACCAAACGAAAGAAGTTAAAAAAATGAAAAAGAGGCAGTGAAGAGTAAAGAAAAATAAATTAAGAATGGCGATTCCGACGGAACTGGCACCAGGACAAGGCACAAGAAAACTGGTTCCATAAAAGTAAAACTTTCGTTGTAGAATCAAATTCTAATGTTAGTTTCAAGCTCGTTTTACTGTCAAATTTTTTCTTGCAAGGCCGTAGAAAGCTCTACAACGCAGTACAATAGTAAAAAGCCGCATTGAACTTTCCGCCAGCAGGGGAAATTTTTTCACGTTCTATGGCCAAAATTTCATCGGAACCAAACAATTTTCTATGGAAACGGGACCAAAAAAGGCTGGTTCCACCCATCTCTAGTTGTTGTACGTATAGAAAAAGAGGAAGATGGAAGAAAACAACAATAATAATACTGGACGGATAAATAAAAAGAGTTATAAGCGTGGTATTTACGATTATCTATGACTATGTTCGAATGCCGTATACAATTTTTTAAATAACGTCAAGTGAATTTTTAGTTTATGCCTAGCAATACATTATTTAACACATTGTAATAGATCTCACTTGTCATTTTCTGCATTCGCTTATTTCCTGTACTTCTGAAAAAAAATTATTAACGTTTCTATTTTTCGAAGGAGAAAAATCCTCTCCTGTTTCTGTTCTTTGAAAGTGGATAGTACGGACCTTGCTATTCAAAAATTTGTTGGTAAAATTAGTGTTTAATGAATTCTCTATTCTATCTGTTTCAGGCTAGTGATTATATATGTTTATTGACAAATATTTTGTATAATACAAACATCAGTCCAAATTCTTCTCGATTACAACTATCATCACCTCTTTCATCCACGTCATCTTCATCGAATACACCTTGTCCTTATTTATCAATACCTTTCTCAACATCTTACAATTACTATCCGTCTGAACAAACATTTTTCAAATCAGAACCGGTTGATTTTACATCGTCATCCTATTTTCAACAGACAAATAACTATCATCAACAATATTGGCCACAACTATTTCAAAATTCAACTCAAACAAACTTGTAACCTAGACGCAAACGTTTCTTTATCGTGTAAATATTGTCTGTCTGTATTTTATTTAATAAAATTAGTTATTTAAAAAACCCATTGTACACACGATAAACTGTGAAGGGAATTCTAGACACCTGGTGATCATTCACAAATATTCAATGTCCTTTTTTCGTCTTCTAAGTTTGGAGCAGAGATGGAATCAGTTCGTGTTTTTCTGAAAACCAAACTGAAACAAATTGAAATTTTCTCAAACCGAATTGAATCGTTCTGTTATTTCAAAAATTTCGAACAGAAATGCCTTGTAATGGAACCGATTTGAAACGATATTTTTTTAAAACTAGATGAAAAATAAAAAAGTTTGTTTTCCCTTCATCAGCTAAGCACTTTATTGTTTTTGTTTCTATTGTCATTTTTCCTCCTTCTTTCAAATGTGTTTACTTCAGCTTTACACATAAAGAAATACTTATTTGTTATCACGTAAAGTAGCCGTTCTACAAGGATGAAAGAATAAAAACGAATAAAAGTACTAGATAAAGGTTTATTAAGTGAATGTTTATATTTTTGATAGGAGTTATAAAAAAAACAAAAAGAATATCGTTGGCCGTTTCTGCATAATTATATTTCCAGTCAAACTGAACTCTTTTTCTTACGGCAGAATTTGTAGCTGGAAGAGATGGAAGCAGTTCGGTTTGAAACCGAGTCGAACCGATCCAATTTTCGAACACCTCGAACCGAATCGATCCCACCTCTGGTCTGGAAATTCTGTATTGAATTTTTAACTCCGTTGACGGGTAAACATGTGTTGTAAGAATCAGGTAAGCAACACGTAAGGTATTTAGTGAAGCAGGCTAGCTAGCATTTACCTACTTTCGTTATGAACACACATCGAAACTTCCGTACAAAACATCTTTCTTTATTTTCACAATAATTATTACGATGGTAATCATGCTTTCTATTTTAATTGAAATAAAAACACAATGGTTGAAAAACACTTCTCCAGTGAAGGAGCTACCACTAGACATCCACAATCACGCTTTTTTCGAACCCATTATCGAGAACCGTGTAAAACCAAAGACTCTCTTGACGTCCATTTTGAAGAGAGCACTTTGAGCTATCTACTCATGAATAAAAACCAACAGACTTGTACCTGAACTTTTTGGTTTATGACCCGGTTTTTAAAAACAGCCGGCGTCCGTTGTTCTATTTCACATACAAGTGGTTTGGGAAAATTAATGTTTTAGGCATGGACCGCAAATAAAAGGTTTTGCACTCTTGTAAACGATTTTTTTATTGCAAATTTTACTTAATTTGAGTTTATTTTAATTGGAAGCAAAACCATGCATTGTATATGATAACTTATAATACACATATCACCGATAAAAAAAAATTAAAGTTAGTTTAGAGTTAAAGGAGAGTGCTTTTTCGTATTCAGCACACTTGATAACCTGGAAAATTTTCTACTTTTAGCGAAGGGTACCGCCAAAAAGTTAAGAAAAATTTTCAAACAAATTGACACAGAAAAATCTCCACGGTAAAATTATACAATTTTGAAAATTTTTCTTAACTTTTTGGCGGTACCCCTCGCTAAAAGTAGAAAATTTTCCAGGTTATCAAGTGTGCTGAATACGAAAAAGCACTTTTCTTTAACTCTAAAGGAACTTTAATTTTTTGTCGGTGATATGAAAAACATTAAAAATTTATCTTTGTGGAAACTGCAGATCTTCTTTCTCGAGACAGCGAATGGTTTACCTTTTTCGGTTGTCCTTGTCATTTACTCAGCTGTTGCAATTTAGCTGCACCTGATATGACGTGATGCCCAAAAAGGATTATAAGATCCATAGCATGCTTACGAACATAGAGTTCCGAATGGTAGAGTACATAGCAGAAAATATGATGCTTATCAAAGCAAAAATATACAGAATTACGTAAAGTTAAAGATGAGTTAGTAAAGTCCTATTCAGAAATATCACATAAACGCTGTAAAAAAACAAGCCTTTCGAGGCACTTGTTTTTTACATTGTGTAGCAGCAATTATATCTAACCACTAAAACAATCGAAAGTGCAAGTTGACATCTTCAAAGCATATGCACAGTAATCTAAACTGTGCTCAAAACGTGTAAAAACATGTGTTCGTGTTACTGTTCGTGTCTGAAACATCAGTAACGTCCGAATCTCTCAATTCTAGAAGTTTCCGTTTTTGAAGAGAGATTTAGTCAAGAGATTTAGCGAGAATTTCAGTGTTGTGCAAAAATAACTTGACAAAAGTCAAGTTTAAAGCAAAAAAATTTTTTCCTTTTACACAAGTTTATAGATGTAAAAGCTCCATGTATTTGTATGAGAGTATCGAAATTAGGAAGAAAAATAACTTGGGTGTCGAGATTAGGAAAGAACCACGGGAAAGAAAAAAATTCGAGACACATGCTTATTCTGACACTACACTGTAATGTCGGGAATTATTTATAGAAAATGCTCGGCGATTTTCAAAAAGTCCATATATAAATTCCCTGAGGATTCTCTAGATTCTAGAAAATCGAATTTACAAGAAACTTGGAAATTCGAAGTCGAACTTCCAGAATTCTGGAAAATTGAGGTCGAATTTCTATAAATAATTCCCAAGATTCTTGAAATTCGAGGTCGAATTTCCAGAATTCTGGAAAATCGAGGTTGAATTTCCAATTCGATTTTCTAGAATTATGCAAAATGCTCAGTGATTTTCAATCTGGAAATTCCTCGGCGATTTTATATATGGACTTTTGGAAATTCGAAAAATGAAATTAATTTCCAGTTATCTGGAAAATCCGTGAGGAATTTCCAATTATTTGGA